CTAGTGAGCCTGATGACGCATCACCCCAGACCTTAAGCCCTAAACCTAACCGGTGACAATAAGCCTTAAATTATAGAGGCCTAATTAATCCATGCAGCGAGATGGTCCGGCAGCACTTCAGCTTTGCAAGGCCTATTCTGTGCAGATGATAAAGGGGCACCCCTGCCCCTTTTGCAGGCTGCCGGTCTATGACAAACGCAAACACCCTGAGCAATACATTGTCCTGTTTCAGGTTCTGCTTGGGTGGCACAAGGTGCAAGGCACGGACAAGATGCGGGAACAATGTTCCAAGTCTCATCCCAAGACCGCGGTGACAATGTCACTTAGTGGCTTTTTTGGGGCTGCAGACAAGCCAGCTACCGCGGCTGCATCACCCACTGTTGCCATGGCAACGACGGGCGCCGTCGGCAGCACTCTCCCGCCAGGCCTGTATTCTCGTATGCGACACATGGTGAACTCGGGTAACACCTGCTATGTCAATGCGACCATTCAGGCCCTACTAGCCGCGCTAGACTCTGCGTCCAATGTAGCGGAACTGGGACCACTGGTCCAACACTGCATCAACCCGGAAGCGGATCCAATGGATACGAGGCACATAAACCCTCCAAGCCTATTCGCTCTCCGGTCCTTAGTGCCTAGATGGCGATTCGATGGCCGTCAACAAGACGCCTCCGAATTTGTCACATACATGCTAGAGCACAACACGGGGACTCTGCAACCCGCTCGCTGGGAAGGACGCACTAATGGAGTGCCGGAAAGTGAGGATGACGGCCTCACGCCGTTGCTGCTGCCCCTTTCCTCAGCCTGTCGTACACTGCATGGGCATGGTATGACCACACGTTCCAGCGCGCCCTGGCATGGGCCCCTGACATCCTGCCAGTCACAATCGCTCGATGGATGGACGGCACAAAACGACGCACCCCGCTGGACCTGCGCAGGCACCTCTCAATGCCGTCTTGGATTGAGGGTCAGGGCCGGCAATGGCATCAATATGCAGTCATTTCGGGAGTTTTTCACATAGGTGCTGACATACACTCCGGCCACTACCGGTCCTTCTGGATTCACCCAAATGGAGGCGCGCTGTATGTGGGGGATGATGCCACCCGCCCATACCCAGCCTCGGCCTCAGATCGCAAACATGTTATGGAAGACTGCTACCTCCTTTTCTTGAGAAGACAGGAGTGACTCTGACTCACCCTCAAGGGGTGAGTGCTGGCCCTCCAAACCTAGGAATGCGTGCACCAATAGGGTGCCTGTGCGTGGGAAGGCCGGACCCCACAATAGGTGGGCATGGCCCCCCCCACGTCAAGGCCAAGCATGCTTTAGGCATGCGCAGGCTTACCCGCAGCTTTTCAGGCTGACCCAGCATGGCTGACACGATCCACAGCCCGGACCACAAAAGTGGTCGAACCGCCTCTCCCCTGGCTCCAGATTCACTAATGGGAGAGCCATCTGAGCCGCTTGGGGTCGACACTCGACGCCAGACATCCGGAGGCGGCAAGCAGCGGCAAGGCAGCGCCCTGCATGCCCTCTCCAACGCTGCAACCAATGGTGCCACTGGCAGACTAAGCAGTAAGTCGCGGAGGCCATGCCTGTTCTCACTTGCGTCTCTTCCGAGACAGACTGATGGCCCTTCTGCCGGATGCCGCCGCTGTCAGTCGGAAATCATGCCCTAGCCTGCTGCCGGTCGCGCTACTGCTGCTCTGCTGACAGCATACACAACGCGAATTCCGTTTCAATGTTCAGGTACATACAACAATCTGGAGCTTGATACCCTGCAGCCTGCAAACTCGCTTTGGCTGATCACTGCCAGTTAGCTCAAAGCCTGTAGGCCGCAACCACTCAAAGGTCTTTTGACCTGGGCGGATCAGCTATAGGGTCTGAGTCAGTTTCACACCAAAGTGAGTGCACCGCGGCAATCGCCCGCTATGTGCAGAGCCCGCTCGCACAGCGTTCAATTGAAAATAGTAGTAGTAGTAGTAGTAGTAGTAGTAGTAGTAGTAGTAGTAGTAGTAGTAGTAGTAGTAGTAGTAGTAGTAGTAGTAGTAGTAGTAGTAGTAGTAGTAGTAGTAGTAGTAGTAGTAGTAGTAGTAGTAGTAGTAGTAGTAGTAGTAGTGGTAGACGTAGAACAATGGACGGTGGACAGTGTCGTGTATATTCCCTCTGGCAACAATATATTCATGACATCGTTGATGAGCCTGCCCTGCCCCACCCCAGTCCAACTTGCAATCTGTTCCTGCTGTTGCTGCTCCGGCTTTTGCTGCTGTTGCTGTCCACTGTTCACTGTTCATGGTCTTCAATGCTCACTTTAAATCCTGCTTTCAAAGCCCCTTAAGGCTCCCAAAACGAAAAGGTCAGAAGGTTAGATACCAACGAACGGAAGGTCAGTTGCTTTGAACAGGGATTTTGAGACGGATCCAAACTTCAAGCTCCGCCCAAGGAAAGCTTCTGGCATGCACTTGGGACGGATCAAGGCTTCAAACTCGGCCCGACAAAAGCTTCTGGCAGGCACTTGGGACGGATCCGGCCTTCAAACTCCGCCCAAGGAAAGCTTCTAGCATCAAATCAGGGCGCTTCTAGGCAGGCATTTGAGACGGATTGTTTATGATTTCTCCATGTAGCATACCGTATTGTGATGTATTTGTTTTATCGTTGTTGCACTCATTTTCACTTGAGCATGCGAAAGGCATGTCGACTATCCGCAGGCGTTCTTCAGAGTCACGAAAGATTTTCATGGTAGCGGAGCACTGGGAAAGCCCGGTGCCCGAGACACATGGGTTGAGCTTTCGGTTTCTTGCTTTGCGGGATTCCCCAAGCTCAGGCTGTGAAAGCTTCTCTGGAGTTCAAGGTCCTTTCGGTGAAATCCAGTAAGCGCGGCGGGTAGCTGCAGACACCGCTGCCGAGCGGTAGCCATATCGTGCTACAACGGCCACCTGTGAAGGCCTTGCGTTGCTCACAGGGCGGCTGCATTCGTATTACCGTTGAGCAGCTGTGTGAACGTCCTAGGCCAGCCGGCCGTTCAGGAACTTCTTGGGATAACATCCTTAGCACCTATAGGGTAAGCTTTGAGAATCACCTTGAAAGTTTTGAAACCATTGAATCTGTGTGGCATTTCGCCGAAAGCTGCTTGAAGAAGGAGCATCTAAAGGAAGCCTTCAGATATTTTGGTGTTGAGGACGTATTTAACAGTGCTACACCGCAATCCGTGCAAGCAGCGATTGTGTTTCCTGAGGAAGAGTGTGAGCGTGACATTGCATTTCAGGACTGCAGAATAGGAGTGTTTGAGCAAGCCTTGATACCAGGGAGTGCGTCGATTGATCTGCAAGATTCTTCCTTTGAGTGTGCCTTGCAGCCTGCAGAAGAGCCGATTGATCTTGATTGAGCATCGCTGTCTGAACAATGGCGAGTGGAAGTGCGGGTGTAGGAGCAGGTGCAGGTTTGGATGATGATTACCCCGAGCTTGGCGAGGGCCCTCAAGCCCCGCAGGCTCCAGGGAACCCGTTTAGCCCGACAAGTGGTGGAGCAGGGATGCTGAATATCAGCCAAAGCGATCTTGTGCTGATGATGAGACAGATGATGGAAGCAACAACAGCGGCGAGTACAGCCGCGCAAGCAGCGCTGGCCGCAGCAACCAAGGAGCGCAAGTCAGGTCTAGGTGGAGGCGACATGTCCCGTTTGTTGCCGAAGCCAGATGTGTTTAAGCCTGCAAGCGTGAAGCTGAGCACGGCGAATGGTCGTCGTGGTTGTGGAGCTTGAAGCAGTACCTTAGTGCTTTAGATCTGGCTTTCACTGATGATTTGAGCTACATTGAGCATAACCCCACCAAGGACATGACAGGGGAAGCCTATGCGAGCGTTGAAGCAGAGCAGAGGTCCAAGCAGCTATTTGCTTTGCTTGCGAGCCTTGTGAAAGGCCGTGGTCTTCAGTTGATTCAGAGGGTTGCAGTGCAGAATGGGTTTGAAGCTTTGCGCCAACTTGTGCAGCTTTACCAGCCTGCTTCGAAGACTAGATCGCTTGGAATCTTAAGCGCCCTGACGAGCATGAGCCACTTTCGTGCTAACGAGCCGTTGCTGCCGCAAGTTCTTGATATGGAAAGGATCATTGACGAGTACGAGCACAGCAGCGCCAAGAAGCTCGACGACGATTTCAAATCAAGCATTTTCTTGAGGTCAGTTAGCAACAACATGAGGAACCATCTTGCAACGGTGTTGACGGAAGACGTGACTTATGATACCTTGAGGGAAACAGCTTTGCATTTTGAGCGCATGAATACCAAGTGGGATTCTAAGAATCTTTTTGCGGGGGATAGTCTGTTTTCCAAAAGCCGTGCATCGAATGATGGTCCAGTGCCTATGGAAGTGGATGAGCTTCAGAAAAAGGGCAAGAAAGGTGATAAAGGCAAGTATGGCAAGGGCGGCAACCAGCAGCCCAAAGGAAAAGGCGGCAAAGGTGACAAAGGCAAAGGCAAGGGTGGCAAGCAGCCCGAAGGAAAAGGCAGCAAAGGTGACAAAGGCAAAGGCAAGGGTGGCAAGACAGGCAAGCCATCAGGCAACAAGCAGAATGTGGTGTGTCACTCGTGCGGCAAGAAGGGTCACTATCAAAGCGAGTGCTGGTACCGTGTCCAGCAAGTCCAGAATGCCGGTAGTGATTCAGCCAGCACAGTTGCGCCCAGCACCGTTGGTCCGTCTGCCTCGCAAGTTCAAGGTCCGAGTCCTGCCAAGAAGGTGTGAATCGTGTGCAGCTTGAGTCGTCAGTTGAGATTGACATGACCGAGGAAGAGTTGTCCATCCAGTATTTTGACGTGCCTGAAGGTGTTCGAGCAGTCAAGTGCGCAGGTGCCGACGAGGAAAGATGTGTGGGAAGCCATGCAGCCCAGGGTTTGTTGGACTTTGGTGACCTCGTGAAGGTCCTAGCCCTTAACCCGAACGGGTACCCTAAGCTTCCCAATCTTCAGCCGGTGACCACGGCTGTGTGCCATGACCTTGCATGCACAGACTGGGATGGAGAGTGGACAACTTGTCGCGGCGAATCTCTTGATTTGCAATGCGCTGCACCCAACAATGCCAGAAAGGGCAAGGTTGCCCGACCTTGCAGAGGCCATCGAGGCCTTAGATGCAGCCACAGCGGCCAGAAGTCTGTGTGCCGTGCAGCGTTCCAGCGGCGCGGCAGCGCACGCCGAACCGGTTGACATCGAGGTCGTTGTGGACTCAGGGTCCGATGCTTCTTGTTTGCCGATGAGCTGGGGAACGATTGGGCAATCCGGCGGTGCCGACTCCCAGTGGTACCGCGGTGCCCAAGGAAACCGCATATCAGGCCGAGAGATGCGCACGGCCACGATTGAGATTGCTGGGGTGAAGTTCCGTGAGCATTGGCTGCTTTCGAGTGTTGCCCAGCCTCTCTTTTGTGTTGGCAAGCTCATGAAGCGAAATGGTTGGGACATTATCCATGATGCTGACAGGGTTCCGCACCTCACGAGCCCTGATGCTAGAGTCCGCGTCCCACTGTTTTACAAGAACTACAGCTTGCATGCAAAAGGTTTCATCCGAGGAGTCGCGGCCTCTGAGGCCGATGGTCAGCCAGGCATCAGAGCACTTGAAGTTTCAGGCCCATGGCTTGAGCTGTCTGAGGAATTTCATGAAGTTGCTCCTCTTGTGTATGCCCGGCGGGACTTCAGCGATTGCGTCGTTGATTGTTCAGTGGCATTGTCAGTGCCTCACCTGAGCCTTGGAGTGCATTATCGCACGACGCTTGTGCAGGACGGTTCGAGTTGGAATGTCATCGAGTTGAATCAGGATCTGTCCTTGCTTGAACAGCCCGAAGTTGAGTTTGAGCCGAAGGAAACGCGGCATGTGATCACCGTTGCGTCTTGTGACAAGATCGATGTTGATGTGCTGTTTAATCAGCATGCAACCGGCCCGCCAGAGGCCGAGCAGGATGCAAACATGTCCGAAGCAGGGCTTCCTGAGTTCCCTGCTGATTCCCTTGATGAAATGCTTGAAGATGCGCCGGCCGGAGGGATTGGAGAGGTTGACCCAGGTGAAGCCCCCATCGGTGCCGATGCAAGTGCAGCGCCAGACGACTCAGAGCAAGCCAGAGGCCACATCGTTGTTGATGGAGTTGAGCTGCATGAAGGTTGCAATCTTAAGACATTGCGTGCTGCGTGCAAAGCCCTAGGCGCAGGCCAGAGCGGCGGCAAAGCCACGGTGTTGTCGAGGATAGCCGGCCATCTTGACGTCACCAAGTCCAGCATGATTCAATTGCTTTGCAAAGCGAGCCGCGTCAGCAAGCCCCCGTAGCTGCTCCGACGCCCGAGCAAATCAGAGTGCACTGCCTGAATCACACCCCCTACCAGCCGTGGTGTGAGCACTGCGTCAAGTTCCAGGCCCGTGCTGACAAGCACACACAAGCCAGGCCCGAGACCAGACAGTGCAGCGTGTGTTCATTTGATTATTGCTTCACTGACAGGCCTGATGGCGAACGCGGGGAAAAGCTTATTTGCTTAATTGCCAAGGATGCCCACACTGGTGCCTGCGCTGCCATCCCTACACCTGCCAAGGGAGGTTCGGTAGCTTTTCGGTTTCTAGTTGCCGAGCTTTGCAAGTTCATCAGCTTTTGCGGTCATTCCGAAGTCACCCTGCGATCTGACGGCCAGCCCACTTGCCGAGCGCTGCAACAGGGTGTAAAGGACTTTAGGGATAAGCTTAAGCTTGTTTCGCACCTTGAGCAAGTCGAGAAGGACAGCCATGAAGGCAATCCAGCAGAGCAGGCAGTCGAGCAGCTCAGACAGTTGACCGGGACACTTTTGTCTCAGGTCGAGCGTGAAATGGGCCAGAAAATTTCAACGATGTCCCCGATCCACGCGTGGGCTTGGAAGCATGCAGCATGGTTGCGCACCAGGTATGCGCGGACTGAAGCGCACAGCCCCTTCGAGATCATCACCGGCAGACCATATCTTGGCAAGCTAGTGAGTTTCTGCGAAGTTGTGTATGCCAGGGTGAAGTCTTCGATCAAAGGGAAGGCCCGATGGGTCGATATGATTTCGCTTGGAAAGCTTGGAATTTCAGATTTGCATTTTGGGGCCACCCAGGGAGGTTTTCTGATTTCCAGCCGGAGTGTGCGGCGGTTGCCTAAGCAATTTGACGCGAATTTTCTTGAGTACGTTCACGACATGCCTTGGACACAAGCCTCGTTCCTGGCGGGGCAGTCAGGGCAGTCTAGGCTCCAGAAGTCGATTGCAGGCAAGAGTGAGGAAGCCAGCGACCAAGCTAAGTTGCCGGAAGTCGTTGCCAATGATGGGCCGAGGCCCATGCTGCGTCCAGAGCCTCTTGTGCCAGATGACACTGCTTTGTCTGCATTTCTTCCGCCACCTCCATTGCTGATTTCGCCAGACCCTCCGACCCCTTTGTGAGTGAACCCTTCGCTTGGCCGAGCTACTGAGCCTGCCACACCGACCGATATGCTTCCTGCATTGTCACCTGTTCCGGAGTCTCCAGCGCCGATGCTGGTTGAAGAGAGTGCAAGTGCTGGCGGGGATGCGCCAATACCACCTGCTGCCGCAAGCAGCAGCGATGGATCTGTAGCACTGGCGGAACAGTTCGCCCGGCACCTGTGCAGGCCGAGCCACCGGCCAGAAAGCGACTGAGGCTAGATGCTGTTCAGACAGATGCAAGCGGAAATCAGTTGTTTCATCAAGATGAAGAGGTTATTCTTGAAGGTGAGGTAGCCGAAGAAGATCTTGAATGTGCTGATGCAGCTGACTGGGTTGAGTATGAAAGTGAAGCCGAGCTTGAAGTACCATCTTGTTTGATTAGGCCATTTTCTGAAAGTGAACCAATTTGCAGCCCTGCAGAACTTGATGAAATAGATGCTGTAGCAGACGCATTTGAGTTTCAGCGGCTGTCTGGAATTGGGGTCAGAAGTGAAGTGCCTGATCGACTTGAAGGCCACAGAACGCTTACGACAAAAAGCGTGCGGACATGGAGGCCAAAGGTCTACAAAGGATCGAAAGTTTGGCTGAGGCGTTCGCGCCTCGTGGCGCGGGAGTATGCGCACTTAGATCCCGATAGGCCTGGGTTGTTTTGCCCAACAGCGAACCAGATTATGCTGCGTGTGATTCCAGCGCTCTTTTTGAGACGCCGTGAGGAAGGCTGGTCGATGCTAGCGCTCGATGTGAGCGATGCTTTTCTCCAGTGCAGCCAGCAGCACCCGACGGTCACCCGCATAGGTGATAAGTGGTTCAAGTTGTGGCGGATGCTCCCTGGACAACGGGACGGAAGTGTGACATGGTACAATGATTTCACGAATGAAATGAAGGTCGCGGTCGGAGTTGAATTGCTTCCCGAAAGCCCCGCATTGTTCAGGCTGCCCAGTGGAGCAGGCGGAGGCTATGTGCATGTGGACGACATGCTGGCTGCCGGCCAGACTGAAAGGTTGCAGGTTCTTGAAAGTCACTTGAAGTCAAAGCTTAAGGTGTCTAGCGAGTGGATTGAGCACATAGGAGATCAAGTATCTTTCTTGAAAAGGCGCCACATCCTTGTAAGCCCCACTTTGCTAGTGATAGAGCCTGACATCAAACACCTTGATCGCCTCATGCAAGTCACAGGGTTAGCAAATGCAAAGGAAAGGTACAAAGCAGCTCCGTTTCCGACCAGAGGTCTGCCCACTGAGCTCGCATCTGATCGTGAGTTAGATGCAGCCACCGCCAGCCGGTATCGCTCAGGTGTCGGTATCCGCGCTTATATGTCTTCAGACCTTGTGGCGTGTCAATTCGCGATTCGATACCTGGCTACCTATTCTCACTCGCCCACCGAAGGATCATGGAAGTTGTTGCGGCATGTTGCATCGTACATCAATTGCCATCGCAACCATGTGATCGGGCTCTCGAAGCCTGTGTCCGGCAAGGGCCTCGTCTGCGACAGGTCCCGCGAGGAGAATACGACCGTGCTTGAAGTTTGTTCAGACTCCGACTGGAGCGGCTGCAAAAGAACAAGGAAGTCCGTGAGCTCTTGTGCGATTCTCTGGGACAACATGCTGGTATATGCGCATAGCAAAACCCAGAAGACCATCAGCTTGAGCAGTGCAGAATCGGAATACAATTCCCTTGTGTCCGCTGCGGCAGAAGGTATTCCTCCTTCCTGATTACACGCTTGAACAGATTTGCCTTGTAGACAACTCGGCATGTCGAGCCCTGGCGTGCCGACAGGGAGCTGGGAAGATGCGCCACATCAGTGGCAAACTTCTTTGGCTTCAGCAAATGACTAAGGACAATGTGCTGTCCGTAGGGCCGATCCCTACAGCTGAAAACGTGTCGGACCTCGGCGCAAAGCCATTGAAGGCAGAGCGGATTGAAAAGCTGCTAGGCATGATTGGAATCAGATGTGCATACAGCAACTACGGTGTTATCGGGGACTTCTATCTCCTCCCAGCGAGGGACAAACTGCATGTCTCCAGAGTTGTTACTGTAAACAAGGAGCGCTTAGCACACAGCAGATCATCCAAGTTCTAGCTATGCTTCTCCAAGTTGATCGCGTCGCAAGTGCAAACGATGAGCCCAATACGCAGAATGCCGAGGACGCCTTGAGCCAGGCCAGGACGACGACAATCTTGGAGTGTTTGCACAGATTCTTGAATGGTTTGTGTACATGTGTTACCTTGTGCGGGATTTTGCACTTGAGTATCCAACTGGGATTATGCTGATCATACAACTGCTGATCTTGATCATGCTGTGCTGTACACTGTTGAGTCGCAATCGCGTTGCAGTGTTGAGACAGCAAGCTGACAGTGAGCAAAGCGGTGCGGCAAGCAGCAACACCCCCACGCCGAGTGTTGCCGTGCATGTGAAAGTTGAGGGTTCTACGGTTTCGCTAGCTAGTCCCGAACCTGCCGAAAACCCTAAGCTTAGCAAGCCCACTGCAGAAAGTGCCACCAGTGCGTCCAGCAGCGCAGCAGAGCGTGCCGATGATCATGATGCTCCAGACCCCAGTGCAAGCTCTTCGAGTGCCGGTGCGATGCCGAAAGCAATGTCTTTCCCGGCTCCGAGGGACGTTATCGATGAGTGGAGGGCCGAGCAACTTGTATGGGTTACCAAATCCAGAGGCAAGTCATATCATCATAGGAGGACATGTGGAACGCTTGGAAATGCAAAGGCACTTGAAAGGATCAGCAGGCAAGAAGCCATCAATCGAGGTTTCAAGAAGTGCAAATGTTGTTACGGCAGTACTTGAAGTAATGCTCATGATGCGCCAATCCTTGGGTTCATTGCTTTGGCATTGAGCCGATCGGTTGGATCTTGTACAAAGGCCGCGAAACGACTGTACATAGACTTGTTGAGGAGAACCTGTCTCCACCATTTTGGTGGCAATGCCGCATTGACTTACCAACCACTGAGCCAGCTGTTGGAGCAGCTGGGAGTTTTCATAGGTAGGCATCGTGCCACCTGATGCATATAGGCATCGCAATCCTGGTGTGCGGATTCCATAGGAATACCAACGTCTTGATGGGGCAGCTGCGCGAAACCCACTTGAATGATCCTTGAGTTACTTGTATGCCGAGCGCAAAACTTGAACCTTGGAAGCGCCTTCGCTTGGGTGAGTCAAGCCTTATCACTTCGTCGGCTGCTCCTAGCCTTCTGAAATGGTGTAACTAGTCGTAGTTGTGCAGTCCTACGTAGTAGTAGCAGTTGAGCCAACGACCCTTAGAGGCAGAGCTCGAGAACGCGCAAACTTTCTCATGAGTGCAGTCGTGAACTAGTGTATTTGTTTGAGCAACGGAGAATCATGGTACAGAAACCCGTGCCAAGGCCATGAGAGTCTGTAGGCGGGGTGTTTATGATTTCTCCATGTAGCATACCGTATTGTGATGTATTTGTTTTATCGTTGTTGCACTCATTTTCACTTGAGCATGCGAAAGGCATGTCGACTATCCGCAGGCGTTCTTCAGAGTCACAAAAGATTTTCACGGATCCAAACTTAAAACTCCGCCTATGGCTGGAGAGCAGTCTTGAGGGTTCCAGGAAATGGGGCTCTAGCACAGCACCGACTGCACAGCAGGACGAGTATGGAGTGTGCAGTGTCAAGAAAGTCTTTCATCAGTCTCCAGCTTGGGCTGGATGCTTGTTGAGCAGCGGTAAACAGAAGCGAAGCCGCAGACCATCTGGCCGATGTCACTGTACTTGTTTTCAACGTCTCGTGCTACCTCTGCTTCTTGCTCTGCCCCCTGGCCACACTGTCGGCGGCCCCTGCCCAAACCAAGTTGCACGCAGACCCCCGCAGGTGCAATGCGCGCGCACGAACGGATCATGGGCTCACGGACCGTTCTCGCCGAAGGCGAAAGCCTTGACGTGCAAAACGGCGCTGGGGCGAGTGAGATTGAATCATGGGCCCCATGGGCATCCACCGGACAAGGCCGTCGCAAGCCTTCTTTCGACCCTCACCCTTTCCGAAGGCGCCGAGGCGCCGAGTCGCCACAACTTCCAGGGATCGGCTGGAGATCTCCGGGGGAAGAGCGCTTAAAATCGTTTTGAGGGAAGTTTCTCCATCTTGCTTTTTTTCTTTGAGTGCAGCTGCGACCCCTCCAGCGTTTCCCGCCAAAGGGCTGCGCCCTGCTTTTCGGGAGCAAGGGCGAGGAGAGCGGAGAGCCACAAGAAGTGGGGCGACCGGGATCAGGCAACAGCAAGTCGAAGGAAACTGGGGAGCACAGCGACGTAATTAAATTCGTCGAATTGCCAATCGTGTGAGAAGCCAGAACGATCCGGAACCACTGTCACATGAGTGCGCACTTGTCTCTGTCGCTGTTACGATCCCTGCGTGGCCTGGCCAAGAGTGATTTCCAAAAGCTTTATTTGGGAGTCTCAAAATCTCACCCATCCCGTGTAGCCAGAGCAATGTCTGACCGCCAGCATTGTTGAGTTGCCACACGTGTGAGTTTGATTGAGGGCCTTTACATCCTGCTTTCTTCGGTGCTGCTAGGTTCCTTTGTTCTTGTTGCTTCGTTTCCTGAGCATGGCCTAAGCATGAGCGAGTATCCTACACCCGAGCAGAATCCGAAACATCGAAGCCTGTTCTCAGGATGTGGTTCCTGCAATTGCGGCTTTACGGCCCTTTGGCACCCTTTGACAAAACCTGGCCACTCGGCTTGCGTGTGCAGTAGCTGGTACGGTTCAATTTCAGTTGACCCTGCGGGGCACATAAGCATTGGCTTTTTTTGCACGCCAGCCTAGTGCACACAAGGCCTTGGCCACTAAGTAACATGATGCTAAGGCGGCCTGGGGAGATTGTCGAAGTAGTCGAACCGGCAGCAAAAGCAGCACGAACAAGATGAGGAGGCAAGAGTGTCCCACCATGGTGACAATATTATCTAGATTCAAGAGTGATAGCTGAAATATACTGAATCATCCGTGTGATGTTACCT